TATTTGGGCCAAGTGTGGCAGTACACATCTGTCATCTCAGCACTTTGGGAGGCTGAGGCAGGAGGACTGCCATGAGTCAGAGGCCAGCCTGGGCTATGAAGTGACCTCAAGGCCAACCTGAACTACAGAGCAAGACACTTGTCTCAAAGAAAAAAAAAACAAAAAACAAAAAAAAAAACCCACAAAAAAAAAACAAACCAAAAAAGGAAAGAAAGAAAGTTCAATACTTGACAGTCTTAACTCATCTCTTGCCTTTTCAGTTATAATTTTTTCAGTGCTGGGGGTTGAACCCAGTGCCTCACACATGCTAGGCAAGCACTTTATCACTGAGAACATCTCTGCTCCATAAGCCTTGCTTTATTTTTAAAATTTATTTATTTAGTTTTTGAGACAAGGTCTCGCTATCTAGCCCAGCCTGGCCTCAAACTCGGGGCAATCCTTCTGCCTCAGCCTCCCGAGTGCTGGGATCACAGGCATGCACCACCACGCCCGGCTGCTTCTCCTCTTTCTAAAATGATAAGCTAACTGCATTTGTAACATCATCCTCTGTGTAAAATATTTCGTTTTTCTCTGGCTGAGCTCTTCATGTGTGTGTTTGAGTAATCTTTTTTTTTCCTTTGGTCTTTTTTTTTTTTTGGTTTTTCTCCGGTACCAGGAACTGAACTCACGACCTTGCGCTTGCTAGGCAGGCACTTTGCCGCTGAGCTAAATCCCCAGCCCCCGTGTTTGAGTAATCTGACTAAGATGTATTTGAATCTGTTTTCATTTGTGTTTTATCCCATTCGGGTTTCTTGAGCTGGGCGGAGTTGATGGCCGTTATGGAAACCTTTTCCTGCCTCATTTTCAGTTTCATCTCCTGGGGCTTTAAATGACATGTGTGTTGAATCACGTAGGATTATGTCACACATGTCTTATGTTCTGTTCATTTTTCTTCCATCTTGTTCTTTTGTTTTTCGAGTGGGATAATCTTTATTGTTCTATCTTCAAACTCACCAAGTCTTTTGTCTGCTATTAAACCCAACTGGTGAATTTTTCATTTCAGTTTACTTTTGAGCCCTATATAAATTTTTTTTAATATAGTTTTGGTTTCTCTGCTTAGATTCACAATTTTTTTCTTTGGGTGTTTTGTTTTGTTTTTGTCTTTTTGAGACAGGGTTTCACTGTGCAGTTCAGGCTGGAGTTGAACTCACTATGTAGCCCAGGCTGACCTTGAACTTACACTGATCCTCCTGCCTCAGCCTCCCAAGCGCAGAGATTACGGTGTGCGCCAGTCACGCCCAGTGTAGATTTACAACTTTTTAAAAGTGTCTCGGGGCTGGGGATTTAGCTCAGCGGCAAAGCGCCTGCCTGGCAAGCGCAAGGTCGTGAGTTCGGTTCCTGGTACCGGAGAAAAACCAAAAAAAAAAAAAAAAAAAAAGTGTCTCATGCATACATTCCTTTAATTCCTTGACCGTGTTTACAATCCCTGCTTTTTTTTTTTTCCCCCCAAGGCAGTGTCTCACTATGTAGTTCAGACTGGTTTTGAGCTTGCTTATGTAGCCCAGGCTGGCCTCAAACTCACGGTGATTCTCCTGCCTCAGCTTCCCAAGTGCTGGGATGACGGGCATGCGCCACCACACCTGGTTACAATGCCTGCTTTTAAGTCTTTGTAAGCCAGTGGACCAATATTTGTGTCATCTGAGTCAACTTTTTTTTTTTTTTGATTGATGAAGGGCTTGTACATTTATTTTAAGATTAAAAGGTAGCGATTACGTATAGTTTCATTTCTTATATGTATAGCATTTCAGGCATATAATCCACTTCAATGCTGAAATAGTAACGAAATAGTAATCAGCCAGAACAGCACGAGTGTTGCCCACAGACCACCTTAGGTAACCTGGATACCGCGCTGAGCCAAGCTTTAACCTAGTAATGCCTGCCTTGGTGCCGGTGGATGCCAGCTGCCTCCACGCAGCCCCGGGCCTCTGGCAGCCCCATTCCAGCGCAGGCGTGAATTCAGAGTCAGTTTCTGTTGATTACTTTTTCTCTGGAGTGCGGGTTGCACTTTTTTGTTCATTTACGTGTGCTATTGGTTGTATGTTCGGGTGCCGGACACTGTGAGTTACGCACAAGGCAGTGACTCATTATAGAGTCTCTGGCTGCTGTTTATTCTTCTGAAGAATGATTTCATCGGCATAGAGCAGCACTTCCAAACCCTAAATCTACTGTGATCAGCAGCAATGAGAATCTCGTTAGTTACTTCAGCCTTTAGTGCTGTTTTTACTGAGCTCTCTGGAATCCGTTCCCCTCACGCTGTGCTCTGGGCATGTGTAGTTTATCAGTCAGGCTTTCCATAAAAAGATCTCTCCTTGCTATGCAGGTGGTGGTCCACACCCATAATCCCAGCGATCTTGGAGGCTGAGGCAGGGGCATCTCAAATTCCAGCCCAGCCTAGGCAATTTCACAATTTAGAAACACTCTGGCTCAAAATATCAGAAGGGCTGGGGATGCAGCTCAGTGCAAAGGTCCTGGGTTCAATCCCCAGACTCCCGCTCCAAAAAAGATTTCAGTTCTCCGTAATTTACCCATAACTGCCGTGTGCCCTGGTTTTTAAACCTCCGGCCAGTAAGGCTGTGGCTTTCTGTTGCCCAAGCCATGTGGATCAGGGAAGTCTTTGGGTGAGTGGCTACTAAGATGCCAGCAAGTACACTTAGTTTTCTTCAAGAATAAATTCCAGGGCTGGGGATTTAGCTCAGCGGCAAAGCGCTTGCCTGGCAAGCGCAAGGTCGTGAGTTCAGTTCCCGGTATCGGAGAAAAACAAACAAACAAAAAAAAAAAAAAAAAAAAAAAAAAAAAATTTTTAGAGAAAGAACAAAAAAAAAAAAAAAAAAAAAAAAAAAAAAAAAAAAAAAAAAAAAAAAAAAAAAAAAAAAAAAAAAAGAATAAATTCCAACCACCCTGTACCCTGCCAGGTCACCTTCAGTTCTGCCTGCATGATAAATAACACTGCAATGAAGATCCTTCTGTATTTCTTTTCTCTTTTTGTTGTTTGGAGACAGGGTCTCACTGTGTAGTTACAGCTGGCTTTGAACTCACTATGTAGCCCAGGCCGGCCTCCAGCTCCTGGCGATCTTCCTGCCTCAGCCTCCTGAATGCTGGGATTACAGGCGTGCACCAACACACTCAGTTTGGATGTTTTTTAATTGTGATAAAGTATACGTAACAAAAACTACCATTTTCACTATTTTGAATATACAATTCAGTGACAGGAAGGACAATCATGAATTTATTCAACTCTGACTATTTCCATTTCCAGAGCATTTTCACTACCCCAGACAGAAAGCCTGTACCTATTAGCGTAGCTCCCCATTTTCTCCTCCTGGCCCCTGTAGCTTCTATTTTATTGCCTGTCTCTCTCAGCGCGACTCCTCCGGCTGCCTCCTAGAAGTGGGATCCTGCAGTACTGGCACTTTCGTGTCTGAGTCCTTTCTGTTAGCGTGATGTTTTCAAACTCCATCGATAGTGGAACATAGATCAGAATCTCTTTTCTCTAAGAGGCTGAATAGACTCTCACTCTCTGCCTGCACTCCATTTTGCTGGTCCATTGATTTGGTGGTAGAAATTTAGATCGTTTTCACATTTTGGTGAATAACGCCGCTGTGCTGTATATTGACATGCATAATTTGTTTGTTTGTTTGTTTTTTGTTTTTCTTCCGGTACCAGGAATCGAACTCATGACCTTGTGCTTGCCAGCCCCGACATGCATAATTTTTAGGGAGATAATTATATATGTATATCTAGAGATACCTATCTCAGTGGAATTGCTGGGTCATAGGGCATTTGTAATTTTATTTTACCAGTTATTCCTAGATGGTTTAACACTTTTGTTTGGTACCGGGAATCGAACTCAGGACCTTACACTTGCCAGGCAAGCACTGTACCGCTGAGCTATATCCCTAGGCTTCTAGATGGTTTAGAATGGCCGTACCTTCTACGTTCTCAGTGGCAGAGGGTCCCATATGCACCAGTACTACATTATCCAGCTTTCTAATCTTCGCCAGTTGGATAGGTGTAAAATAATACTGAAGCCAGGCTTGGTGGCGCATGCCTGTAATCCCAGCACTTGGGAGGCTGAGGCAGGAGGATTGTTGCGAGTTCAAGACCAGCCTGGGCTACAAAGTGAGCTCAAGGCCAGCCTGAGCTGCATATCAAGCAGCTGTCTCAAAAAAGACAAATAAATAAATAAATAAAATAAAATAATACTGATTTCTCTGATTCCCAGTCTATCACTTACATGTTTAAAGACCTTTATAGCTGGATGTGGTGGTGAATGCCTGTAGTCCCAGCACTCAGGAGACTGAGGCAGGAGGATTGCCGTGAATTTGAGGTCAGCTGCTACATAGTGAGTTTAAGGCCAGCCTGAACTACATAGTGAGACTCTCTTCCACAAAAACAAATAAAGGGGCTGGGGATTTAACTCAGCGGCAAAGTGCCTGCCTGGCAAGCCCAAGGTCATGAGTTCGATTCCTGGTACCGAAAGAAAAACAAAAAATAAAAACAAAACAACCAAAAACAAATAAATACATAATACATACACACATACATACCTCTAGAGGAGGCTATAGATTCCCCTTATCTATCTTTTGCCCTGATTTTTAACCAATTCATGGTTAGGAAACTCTTCTAACCTAAATCTTTCTCATTGCTAGCACCTCACCTCACTCTTTTCTTCTTTTCTTTCCTTTTTTTCTCTTTAGAGACAGGGTCTTGCTTTGTAACCCAGTCTGGCCTCAGACTCACAAAGATCCTCCTGCCTCAGCCTCCCAAATGCTGGGATTACAGGTGTGCACCACCAATGTCAGGTCCCAGCATGTATGGGCACTCCTGGGGCTGGGCTTTTCTTTTTCTTTTTTTTTTTTTAACTGACCATTTTCACAATTTCTGTTTATTTCACTCCAGAGTAGCACAGGAAGGAGGCTGTTGCCTTCCACAGTCTTCTTGTAGATTGTTTTCTCTTTCAGCCCTTGACCTCTGTAGAAATTTCCCCAGAGTCCACAGCGTGGGTCTCAGCCTCTCCAGAGTCCCTGCCTCACCCAGCCCCGACCACCACCTCCAAACACGGCAGCCCGGCGGTGGTCAGGGTCGTCTCCTTTCAATGCAAGCAGCAGCAGCAGCAGCAGCAGCAGCAGCAGCAGCAACAGCAGCAGCAGCAGACCCCCCAGCAACTCACCAAAGAGAAGACAGCACAACCTTCTGCACCTCTGATGTCCCAGCTCTTTATGCAGAATTTGACTCCCGACTGGACCTGGCTGAAGAACAACACGCAGGAGCAGTGCTTGGTGTCAGAGCTGCTGAGCAACATTCAGCTGAAGAGGAGGCTGGCCCTGTTCCCTGCTCACTGCAACCCGCGGCTGCTGCTGAGTGCCCAGCCCCAGGAGTGCCCATACATGCTGGGGTCTGGCAGGAGCCCAGGTGTGTGTGTCAGCGTTCCGTGACTGTGACAAAGTGCCTGAGGTTGTTAGCTTCTGAAGAGAAAAGCTTCCTTTGGGCTCATGGTGTGAGTGGCTGCATGTCGGGCTGACCCAGGGCTCTGATGGGGGGATGGTAATGGCGGCGTGTGTGTGGAGGAGTTGCCCGTAGCCCGTCCTCTTAGGTTAGGGTGTCTCCAGTCTGGTTGAGAGGACAGGAAAGCTCTAGTAGCATGCAGAGCCCTATTAACACATCCCAGCTCGTAAGTACAGGAAGAGAAGGTGTTGGAGGAAGGAGAACAGCGTGGAGCTGCAGCCAGGGTTAATGGCCCTGCTCAGGCCCTTGTGCAGACCAATGACAGCAGTGACTTTGCCTTCGCAGGAAACCCCTCCCTGCCCGAGGAGTGCCGCTCTGGCAGCCGCAGCTCTGCCGAGAAGAGGCAGCTGGACGTGTCCCCCCTCCTCCTCCTGGAGAGTCCCCAGAATCACAACGTGTCCCTCAAGGACCTCCTGGTGGTTGCCACCCCAGCCCGCCTAGGCCGGAGGCCGGGCAGAAGCCATGCAGGGGTTGTGAGGGACCTGTGTGTGCAGGGTCGGGCCACCTGCAGCCACTGCCTGGTCTCTGGCCACAGAGGATGCAGTGGAAACTAGGTAGGCAACCCGCAGTCCCTTGGTGTGTTCGTGTGCGGCAGGCACCACTGTCCATTTCTCTGGAGTGTTGAGCATGTAGCAGATGGATGCACTGATAAAGACCTACAGGGAAGTAGATGACTGAGGCTTCCCTCCATCCAAACACCTGGAACCCCAGCACTGGGGAGGCTGAGGCAGGAGGATCAAGAGTTCTTGCTGTGTAGTTTAGGCTGGCCTTACCCTCTCAGCGATCCTCCTGCCTCAGCTTCCTGAGTGCTAGGATTACAGGCATGTGCCACCATGCCCAGCCTCATATTATTCTTGAGCTCAAGCTGTGGGCATAATCAGTGGCCCTCGGGGGAAATCATTACCTTCAGGTGGCAGAGATGACAAATGCCAAGCAGGGTCCTTGGGATCCTGTGTCACAAAAAGACTAAGTTCATACAGCAGGGTACCATTGATTTGCAAATGCAGCAGGGTGCATGTGCAGAAAGGGCTTCTGTGTGATAAGTGATGGTTGCACACAGAAAGGAAAGAGGTGTGCAGGGGTCCAGGCGTTAAACCAGAGCGTTTCTCTCTCTCTCTCCTTCCTTCCTTCCTTCCATTCTTTCTTTCTTTCTTTCTTTTTCTTTCATTGTTTCTTTGTTTCTTTCCTTCCTTCCTTCCTTCCTTCTTTTTTTCTCTCTTCCTTCCTTCCTTGCTTGGTAGGTGTTAACAGTAGTAGTACCTTACACATATCAAGATTACCTACTACACTGTATTAGTCACTTCCCCATCCTGGGACAAAATACCCGACACCTGCAGCTTCAAGGGCGAGAGGTGTATTTCGGCTTATGGTTTTGGAGGGTGCAGTCAATGGCAAGCTGGCTCTGAGGCAGGAGCAGCAGGGTGGAAGGGCCTGTCCCTCATATAGGCGGTAGACTCAGAACAGACAGTCCCAGCGTCTCTTGCTCTTTACTGCCCTGCCAAGAACTCCGCGCCTGTCCTGACCCATAGGAGGGACAGATCCCTGACCAATTCCTCCATTTTCCTGCTAAAGTCACTGTAATTGATCTCATTTTCTCCCCTCTGGGTGCACTTTTATGGTGGCTTAGTCACTGAGTCTGGGGTGCAGATCTGTAGCGGTTGAATTCTTAGGGCTAAATTATTTCTTCGGTAAGATCTGAAGGATGATTAAGCCCAGGTAATGTGAGAGCTTCGATGATAAGTGATGATAATTTCTTCAGCCTCGGGCATTATTAGGCTCAGAGAGGTTAAGTAACTTGTCCAGGGGCACACGGCTTCCTAACCACTCCCACCGTACTACCTGTACCCAGCTGTCTCTGGCCTGCTTAAATGATGTGTATAAGATGGTGCAGTCGCACTGCAGGGAGCTGAATATTCCGCAGCTAAAATGAGTTTCTGGCGGCTGTGGGTGCAAGTCGCCTCTGGACTTCCTGATGCCCAGGTAGGAATGGTGATGATGAGCTACTGGCTTTTTGACGTTCCAGAGGTTGTTTTATTTATTTATTTATTTATTTAATTTTTTTTGCGGTACTGGGGATCAAACTCACGACCTTGTGCTTGCCAAGCAGGCGCTTATGCCACTGAGCTATATCCGCAGCCTCCAGAGGTTGTTTTAAACGAAAATCTAAGAAAAATATTTTTTCCCCCAGAATCAGATTGGATCTCTGTCATCGTTCTTCCTTTCCTACCTCTGACTCCGAGGAAGTGATGTGTCTTTTCCCACAGCGTCTGCAGTGTCTGGAGAATCAACTAAAAGTTTCATTTGCTCACTTAGAAACCCTGGTCTGATCGATAGCTCGCGTTAGCATCACGGAAGCCCACAGCCTCCCAGTTTGACCACGGTGCTGCCCTGGGGCCACATCCCAGCTGCCTAAGCTGTGGCGCCATTACCCTGGACGCTCCCCCAGCCGCAGCAGCTGTCCAAAGCCCTCAGCCCACCGACAGCCCACGCAGCTGGTCTTCGTCTCTAACGATAAACGACAGGGATGGGGCTGTGAGCCTCTGGGACCGTTGCAAGCCCATCACTTCAAGGTCAGACCTCTTCCCGCCACAGCCAGCCCGAAGGCCTGAGCCTCCGCACCCAAACATCTGCCTGCGGCCTCCCCTTCTGGCCTGCCTCAGTCTCTCTGCAAAAGGCAGAGGGGACGCAGATGGACCCAGCCTGCAGATATGACCCAGCCAGTGCTATGTAGAAATGATATTCCTTCCTCTCGCATGTATGTTAATAAAATAAACTGCCATGCTCAACGCCCGGACAAGGAGCCTGACCCGGAGGGAGATTGGGAAGGGGAGGTGGGCAGGTGGTCCTCCTGGTGATCCCTCCACATCTAGAATTTCTTGGGCTGAACAGTCTACAGGAAGCTCTGCCCTCCTTGCTACAAACCCAGAGCCCAAGTGACCCTTTCAGGGGCATGGTGGTGCCCTGTTGACTTCAGTAGGACATCTCTCCCTCTGCCCATTCCTTCTCAGGCCTTCGCTTCAGTTCTGGTTCCTGTTGGGTCCCTGGTGGAGCTGGGGGGGAGAGGAGAGGCCTGATCACCTTCACAATGTGGACCTGGCACTGCCTTGTGAGTTCTATGGCTTTCTGGCCTCAAGAACATCAGGGGAAGTCAGGTGTGGTGGTGCGCATCTGTAATCCTAGCACATGGGAGGCTGAGGCAGGAGGATCCCTGTGAGTGTGATGCCAGCCTGAACTACATAGCCAGACCCTGTCTCAGTAAAACAAAATGTCAGGGGATTCTGAAGCACTTGAGCCCCTTAATTATCTCAGGTGTTGAACGGAGACGTCAGAGTCAGCCCAGGCATCCAGTTGTGAAACACGCATGCGGTATCAGCATCCCCATCTGGGCCCCGTTTGCAGTGGTTCCCAGTGTCACCTTCCAGGAAGTCTGGCACCGCCAGAGCTGCAGGAGGCCCCAGTGAGCCCGGACGGATGAGTACAACCTTCATGGTCACACCTCCCTCTGCCTCCCCAGGCTCCAAGTAAATGAATTTGGAGGCCGTGTTCCTGCCATTATCGTTATCTTTTTTTCTTTTTTGTCTTTTTGAGACAGGGTCTCGCTATGTAGTTCCGGCTGGGCTTGAGTTCACTTTGTAGCTCAGGCTGGTCTTGAACTCGGGACGATCCTCCTGCCTCAGCCTCCTGAGTGCTGGGATTACAGGCGTGCACCACCACGCCTGGCCATTACCATTATCTTGATCGTAGCCTGGCCCAGGCACACAAAGTGTCAGGCTTGTGGGAATGAGGCCTCCCAAAAGTGCTGCATCTCCCCTGTCACTGATTCTAGCTGTCGAGGGTCCTGAGCTGACGAAAAGGAGGTCTCTCAATAAGATAAAGCCGGAGTGTTTTTGTCTTTCTAAGGCACATTTTGGTGCTGGCATTCTTGTTCTTAAGGACAAGCAATCCATGTGGTCGCTCACAGGCCCATGCTGGTGTGATGCTGTCACCATCTTGAAATTCTGTGTCATTTCCTAACAAGGAGCCCTAAATCTCGTGAGATTTTAGAGCTCTGGGTTATCCCAGGAGAGGGCAAAACCCCCTGGCTGTTCAGCCTCAAGGCTGCGAGAGCCACTGTCTGCCGGATGCTTGTGCGAAGTGCCACCAACAGGGTCGCCAGAGCAGACGGAAACGGCCACTGGAGACCAGGTCCGAGGTCGGAGCCCGTGATGTCTGAGGGGCGGGAGGGGTCAAGAGGACTGTAAATGCAGTAAGAGGCATGGGGCCCAGCGTGGAGACCTAGAAAAAAAATTAATACTGATTATGATAAAGACATAAGGCCTAAAGCCGGGCATGGTGGCACACGCCTATAATCCTAGCACTGGGGAGGCTGAGGCAGGAGAATCGCTGTGAGTTTGAGGCCAGCCTGGGCTATAAAGTGAGCTCAAGGCCAGCCTGAACTGCATAGCGAGACCCTGTCTCAAACAAACAAACAAAACAATAAAACAGCCATCCAGTGGTTGAGCAAGCGCTTAGCTTGAATGGGGGCCCTTGGTTCAATCCCCAGTACCCAGATGAATGAATGAATAGAAAAAGCCTCCCCGGGGGTTCTGACTCATGGCCAGGTTTGGGAGCCAATGTGGGGCGCATCCCGTATTAGAAAACCTCAGCCCACTGCAAATCGGCCTTTTGCCTCTTGCTAGGCTTAAAGGGCGGCTCCAGAGCCCAGCTTTCCTTCCACCCTTCGGGGGTGTACATCGGGCGGACTGGCAGCTGTTGCAAGCGCCTTGAGCCCATCCCGATGATTGCGTGAGCTGACTATAATCATTCACACCCCTGGCCTTTACAGCTGGCTTACCACTTAGCTTAATTACGGCAGCGGTGGTATTTCAACTCGAGGAATCTACAAAAGCAATAAAATGTGTTTTGCAAATGGTTAGGAAGGCAGTGAAGGCTTTGAAACTGCAGTTGACTGAGCGCTGCCCCAGCCACGGCTCTAAACTTCTAGCCAGCAGCCTGGGAAAGCCAAACAGGCGCTATGGAACTCACTGCACGCTGCGCAGGCGCCTGAAGCTCCAGGGTTGCCCTGGGTGGAAGGGGCGGAGCCTGGGGAGCACGTGGTCTTCCCGTCAGGCACCTGTGCTCCGCTCTTCCCAAACCATGGTTCTGACTGGCTGGGGGTGACCTTCAGCAAAAGCCTTTGTTTCCCTTTGCTCCCAAGGATGTCCCCGATATCTATTACTGCCCCCATCCATCATGAGGGAAGGAAAGCAAGTCCTTCCAAGCTCTAGCCTCGGTGATTGGTTTCTCTGCCTCTCTGGCTGGTTTCTTTCCTGGCTAACTTCCGGATTCCTCCTAATCTTTGAGCAACCATTTTAAAAGTTGCTCCATTTTAAAGGTTGCTCTATTTGCTGTCCTTTGCAGGCCTGGGAGACTTGTGAGGACCAGGATAATAAAATGGGAGGCTGAAGCAGGAGGATTGCATGTTTGAGGCCAGCCTGGGCAATTTAGGGATTTAGACCATGTTACCCCTACCTCTACCCACAACAAGAAGGGCTGGGGATGTCGCTCAGTACAAAGGCCCTGGGCTCAATCGCTAGTACCACAAAATAAAATAGAATTTTAAAATGGGAGGCATCCGCATGAGATAGGGGCAGGAGCAGCGCTGAGGCAGGCCTGAGGCAGAGTTCTCTCGCCTGGAGCAACATCAGCCGGGCTTGATAATCAGGAGCAGAATGCCAGCTGCCTCTGCGGCCATGCCAGGCAGGAGAGCAAACACCAAAATCCTGTTGGCAAAGCCAGCAAGACCATCATAACGTGGCCAAAGCAAACGGAAGCGGAGACAGGCCCAGCAGCAGTGCAGCGAATGCTCCCTGCCCCTCTGCTGGGATGGAGGTTAACAGCCAGCGAAGCCGGGAGTCAGAACATGAGGAGATCCCACCCATCCCGGGGCCAGACCCCCACCCTCGCTGCTGTGGCCCCCATTTCCTTGGGCCCAGGCCATAGAAAGGCTGGCCATGACAAAGCATCTTCACAGATCATACTTTGCTATTCTTTGCTATTACTTTGATAGTCTTCCCAGCAGCCTCCTGAGCTCAATCTTGTCCCATCTTACGCAGATGAAAACTGAGACCCTAGGACATCAAGGACAGAGAGCCAGACCTTGGTCTTGGGCCTGCGACTCAGGGACCATGGCATTTCTCAAACCCCCCACCCTTCCACCTCTGCGCCCTGAGCTCTCCTATGCCTGTCCCCACCTGTGCAGTCTTCTAAGGCAGCGCTCCCACAGCCCAGCAGTGACCTGACGTCTTTTTTTTCTATTCCATAGCCAAAAAAGCAGAAACTGGCGGGTACTGGGAGCAGTACTCAAAGACTGGGAGCAGTTATTTTGTTTTTAAACCAAGAAACAGGGTGTTGACATCCCTAATTTCATCCACCACACCCACCAACACAGAGGAAGTCCAGGGAGAATATAAATATCTTCAAGGATTCGGATATTTGAACCGTGTTTCCCTCCTAGTTATTTAAACCTGAAACATCTAAGTCAAGACCTCCAGTTTGCCAGTCTTGGCACAGCTGTGTTTAGATGTGTCCAATGGACGGAGGAAAATTCATACTCTTTCCCGTCTGGCTGGAAAGTTTACACTTAACAGAGAGACGTACAGTAGCTATAATCATATCCAGTGGGAGGACTGGGCTCCTACTGGGAGAATTAAAAATCGCTATTGGATGGAATGCCCCCTTCCAGGTCTTCATCTCTCAGCAGATTGCCTGATTATTTGAAATTCAGTTTCAAGCTACGGAAGCTTAGGAGGCAGGAAGAAGATTTGAGTGGAATAATTGGTTCTTTTCCCTCTAGCATTTCCATTTTCTCTGCGCCTAGGGAGCCTAAGGAAAATATGGGTCACCAGGGGCGGAGCGCCGGGGACGTGGGGCTAGGGGGTGATGACCTCGTAGGGCACCCTCCCACTCCCTTAGCTGAGAAGACCGCTTTGGGTGGCAGGTGTCCCAAGGACGTCCTCCCAAGGAGACGGCGAGGCTTATGGGGGGCTGCTGTCACCTCCAGTTGAGACCGCATTCTCTCGCTTGGGGAAGGCCCGTCCAGACGGATTTGCACGAAGAGGGCCCGGGCTGCTGCTCAAGCGATCTGCAGGCGCCTCGCTGAGCCAGGCGCGGAGCCCCGCGCTCCTTGGCGGAGAACGCTCCCTCGTGTCGTGGGCGGCGGCATCCTGAGTGCTCCCGGGGCGACACCGTGCCTCGCAGGCGTGGTCCCCGCAACCACGCACTCGCGCGCTGAGCCAAAGCGCGCCGTCCAGCTCCGCGGCCAGCGGGGTCCCGGCGAGGCCAGGCTTTCGCCCCAGCGGGGTCGCGGGGAGATTTGACCCAGACCGGAAGCAGGGGAGCAGCGGTCCTCGCAGAAACGCCCAGGGCTCGGTGGGACTCGGAAGGGCCCTTTCACGCACACACAGAAGTCGTGGCTAACGTGGGCTCTCGAAAGTGTGCCGCGGGGGGCACAGCGCTGCACGTTCCGGCGTGGTCACCCCCATCTGTCGCTGCCCCCAAGACTCTTGGTGGGTACTCCAATTTTTTCAGTGCAGGAAACATGCTCAGTGACAGCCAGGTCCTCGCTAGGCCAGAGCACAGTCCCAGGAGTCCCCAGCGTTCCAAACCCGGAAAACCTGCCCGTCTGCACTCCTGATTTCTCTTTCTCTGCTTTCTTTTTTCCTTTCTCTTTCTCTCTTTTTTTTCTTTCTTTCTGTCTGTCTTTCTGTCTGTCTTTTTACGTTAGGGCCTCCCACATGCTAGGCAA